AGAATCTGTATGAAAATAAAAACTTCAGGGTGCAATTTGTTATGAAATTATAAATCTCAAGGGGCGGGATGTAATTTCTCAAACCTCAGGGGAGAATCTGTATTTTCACTAAACCTCGAAGGGGGTGTTTGTAATTTGCCCTATATATATATAATTCATGTTTCTAGTTGCTCGATTTGTTTGATATCTTTATCCAAATCCAGCCAAATTTAATTTAGACTTTTGAATTTTTGTACCAAATTTAAAATTGTTTTGTTTAAGTACTAAAAAATTTCAAATTGAACTCAAATTGTTAGAGTTGAATCCGCCTAAATTGTACCCCTGTTAATGACTGACACTAATGAATAAAATTGAGATTTTTATTAATAAATCTCATTTAGAAGTGTTCTAACCCAAGAAGTTCATGAATAAATTTTTTAACTCACTTAATCTCATGTATTTATACTTTTATTCCATAAAATCATTTTTCTTGATTTACACTATTTTCTTAGACTCTTATACTCTTATATTTAATGTTGATATTTAACACTGAGGGAGGAGAGAGAAGGGAAAGGATTAAGACATATGAAATTTTATATATAAATTAAATGACATTGATGTTATTATTTTATATTATTATATAATGTGAATATATTTTAATTGACAACACATTAAAAATAATGTGAACATTCTCTCTTATCTGATGTGAACGTTTACAATACATTTTTAAAAAATTCTCTCTTATCTAATATAGTAATGTGAACGTTCACAACATGTGAACTTTTTAATTTTTAATTGACAACACATTAAAAATAACGTTTATTATATTTTTAATTGATAACACATTCTTATTCACAACATGTAATGATGTGAACGTTCACAACATGTGAACATTTTTTCTCATCTAATGTAGTGATGTGAACGTTCACATTCGTATGTTTTAGTATGAATATTCATATCATGTAATATACAATACAATGATAAAAATTCATTTCAAATTAATGTGAATATAACGATATGAATATTCATTTCAATTATATGATGAGAATATTCGCATCATGTAATTGGCAACACAATAATAAAAATTTATTTTAAATTAATATGAATATAATGACAATCAACATCTTGATGCATGGGAATTACCAAACATAATGATAATCAATATTAAATATCAACATTAATAAGGGACATGAGAGAGTTGCGTTTGGTAGAATTTTGTAAATATAATTTGAGAGTATGAGTTGTATTTTGAGTTTGTGAAGTTTGGAATTATGATTTGAGTGTGAAAAATTTGTTTGGTAAAGAGTTTTGAATTTAGTGGGGAATTGTCGATGTGACATTTGATATTTGATACAAAAATTTACAACTCATAACCAAACATACAACTCAAAATTATTTTAAAGCATATAATTTTTTTTTAAAAATTCAGAAAATGTTCTTTTTGAATATAAAAAAATTAACATATCAATTGCAAAAAAAAAAAAAAATCACTATTCCGATCAATCGGTTGGATGATCGGTTTGGCAAAATTTGCATAAAAAATAAATCCGAAAAGTGCGCCTGTCTCAGAGTTCTCTGCAGAGTTTTGGAAATGTGTTTTCAAAACACGTTCCAAACATCATGCTCCAGTGTAGGCGTAGAATCATATTTTCAAAATACAACCAAACAAAGTCTAAGGGTGTTTTAGTGTTCTTATCTCAAATAGAATAGTAAAAAAAAAATATGAGTTAAATGGAATAAATTTTTTAAAAAGATGACTTATAAAAAAAAGCTCCCAATAAATTTTGCTTTCATTAGTGGTGCTCTAACGAAGGAATATATGACAATACCTTGCTGTATTACATGGGTTGACAGGGCTGAAACAAAAATCTAGCGCAAGCCCAGTTTTTTTTTTGTATTTTTTTTTTCAGGCCGAAACTTTCCCCAACAAACTTGGTAGGTGTTTTGAAAATCACCTGATAAGTCTTTATAAAAAAGTTAAATATTCTATCTAATTTTGTATAATTTTTTGGTAAAAAAATTAAAAAAAAAATAACTAAAACAACTCGACGATGGGCAAGTCGCCATGTGAGCTTAGCTTGTAAGTTTAATTTTTTTTTACTTACCCAAAAAAAGGGATTTTTTTTTTTCATTTCCATAATAAGGATATTTGGCAAAAAAGTTGAGCTAAAATAACTAAAAAAATAGATTTAATAGCTAATAAAATAAAGTGTCACATCTACTTCATAATCATTTTATAATGTCATATCTATTCTATAATTATTTCATTTTTTCTTACAACTATCAAATCAATTATAAAAAGCCAACAAACTTTCAAAACACAACTATTTTAAAATAATTAAAAAAATCAAATAGTCAACTTTTCAAACAAGGTCAATATATGACGGGTCTGTCACATGTCAATTGGCTGGACTTACTTGTGACCCAATGCAATCTGGACGGGCCGAACTTTAAATCATAGGCTCAACCCAACCTCATTTAGGCCTGTCTGGTCCTTCAAAAAATATGAAATCGGGTCAGGTAGGCCCAAACATCCAGACCAAATTGTTCAGTCAAGAGAGAGAATGCTCTACGGTAATTCTATTTGTACTCAAATAATAAGTCAATTTATCTAAAATTTTGAAATTTTAGTTACTATTATATCACAAATGTAAATTTAATAAGAATAATACACATTAAACTCTAAAATATTAAATATTTTCTTCCTTAAATTTCGATTTTTTTATTTTTATTTTCTTTATCATTCCAAAATTTCAATTCACCCACCAAAACTTATCATTATTTCTTATTGTATTGTTACTTATAAATAGAAAAAGAAAAAGAAAAGGTTTAAACAAAATCAAACAATAAATGATAATCACCTTTTCATAATATATCATAATCACTTATAAGTATTTTTTCTTTTGGTGTTTGTGTTTCGAAATCTTTTAATTACGCATAGGGTAATTTGAAGATCTTGTTTAATTGATTTTTAATTACGCATCGGGTAATTTGAAGATCTTGCTTAATTGATTGAAAATTGAAACTTGATAAACAACCAACATGATTTTCATTCCGAATCTGTGTAGTTTGATTTGGGACTTGTAAACACATATACACATACTAGTGGGTGGCACACACACGATGTGTGTGCAATTTAAATAAGTAGGAATAAAAAAAAATAATAATGAAATTAATATTATAATGTGTACTTAGCTTAAGTGGTATGAGTCCTTGTACTTAAACCCATGGTCATGGGTTCAAGCCTTGCCCATCTCTTTGTTTAACTTTTTTTTAAAAAATAAAAATACTGCCACATGACATGAGGAAAGTAAAGATTCAGGACACCATAAAAGGTGTTCACTTTATAATAGTATAGATAGATAGATATTTCGTTTGAGATGTGTGTTGCCTTTTTAATTTTTTGGTTAAGTCTAGGGCTAAAATGTTTAGTTTGGGTTGATTTTTTTGACTTTGTGAGAGAAAAAATAAAATTATTATAAGCTGAATGTGACATTTAGCCATTGAATTTTTGGTCAATTTTATTTTTTTGTAACTATTTTAACCTAGTAGCCCCAAAAATTAACATACCAAATGAGAGCATGATAACCACCGGAGGTGGTAGCCTAATGGTGAAGGCATCTCTTTCCATAGGTGGGACTTAGGTTCGATTTTTGAGAGAGACGAATTACACTGCTTTGCAGCTAGCTCTTTTCAAAGACCTCATCTGTACTCCCCTTGAAACCTAAAGCAGCTCTTTTCGGAGACCTCGCCTGTACTTCCCTCGATACCTAAGCCTAGCCTGCACTCCCTTCAAAACCTAAGTTCGTCTGTGGCATGTGGTTAAGTTTTATTGGTGTCTCGATCAGTAGTGAGTTTCTTTTTTGAGTTGGGTTAAATTAGGCCGACAATCAACTCTCCGAATGTGGGTCTAGGAATACAGTGACGACACTTCGTAACATTTTTTTTTATTATAGTTAAAAAAAAAAAAAAACAAACAAACAAACAAAACAAAACGAGGGCATAATATATCTATCTGATTACATACGCTACTCATACACATATTCGTCCATTGGTTATTAGAACAAAATGAGGATTGAGTTGAAGACGTGGGACTCTCACATGTTGGGATACTCTAAATCTATAATTGTTTTGAGTTGAAGATTGTTCGATTTGATTTTTATCCTAAAGGTGAATTAGGACAAATTATAATCATAAATAATTTAAATGAGAATATTAAAATAAAATTAAGCATGCTAGTTTTTGTTTGAGAAGTTGGTTAGTTTTTTGATTTTTTTGATTGTTTTAATTTGGGATTAAAAAGTTTAGTTTGGCAATGATTTTTGACTTTTTTGATTTTTTGGGTTGTTTTGGGAAGATGGTAAAACGTGACTTTTTGGCTTTTAACCAAGATTTTGACTTTTTTAGACAAATGATTTGGGAAGTTGGTAAAAAGTGACTTTTGACTTTTTTGATTAATATTTGTTTATGATGTCAAATCATAATAAAATGACTAAACTAGTTACAGGTTGCTGGAGCCATCTATTCTGCCGGTGCTTTGCTGCTGATCACTAAACGGGCAGTGTGGTCAGATTTTTACCCACACAATAATCATAAATAATTTAAATGAGAATATTAAAATAAAATTAAGCATACTAAGTTTTCCTTTGAGAAGTTGTTTAGTTTTTTAATTTTTTGATTATTTTAACTTGGGGTTAAAAAGTTTGGTTTAGGAAGGGTTTTTGACTTTTTTGATTTGTTGTGAGAAAAAAAATATGATTATAAATCCTGATTTTGGGAAAGATTTTTGACTTTTTTGATTTTTTTTATGAAAAAAAAATATAATGATTATAGGTTGAATTTGATGTTTTATCTTATTAAGATAAATTTTTTTAAAAATTTTTTTATGAAAAAAATAATGTAATAATTATAAATTAGATGTAATATTTTAAGTTAAAAAGTCTATTTTATTTTATTTTTGACTAAATAATTTTTAAATGCAATTAGAATCTCATGATCTACCGATTTCAGATCACATCGTCGACACATAACAAGCACATATGTGATGTAAAACCTTGATTTGCTTTTGACTTGGGCGATTTCGCTTCGTCGCACGCATTTTGCTTCTTCTTCAAGAAAATGGAGCCTCCTATGAACCTGTCAAACAACAACCATTCAATTCGTCCCCTTTCTTTATTATTATTATTATTATGTAGTCTTTTTATAATGGTATTTGTTAGTTCATTCAAACCAAAGGTCGAACACTTGGTTTGCTGTACAATTTCAAGAAATCAATCACACAAATACAAAAAAACCCAATACATCAAAAAAAGAGTAAAATGGTTCTTCCTCTATTAAAGCTCGGCACTCTTGCTTTGAAGACTCTCAGCAAACCCATTGCCGCTCGCCTCAAGAAAGAGGCTGGCTTGCACCCCAAGTTCCGCCAATCCATCATCAACATGGCCCAAGTACTCTCTCTCTCTCTCTCTTGATTGATTGAGTTGTTTTTTTACTAGTGATTTATCCAAGTAGTAATTGTTATTGTTTGATGTTGTGTAGATTTCTGAAAATGTTCTCTATTTGGATAGAGAAAATGAAATCTTGAAAAGGATCTTATTGAGAAATATGAATGTGGTGTGTTTTGATAGAGAGATAAAGAAGTGAATTTTCAAGCATGACATGCTCGGCAGTCCGTTGATTTGATGATTTTTATTGTGATTTAGTAGAATAGAATTTGAAGGTAAAATATCTTGGAATTTAGAACTTGTGAATGAAGAATGTATTGTTGTTTGCAAAGGAATTTAAATTTAGGCTAATACTGAAATGACTATTTTTAATGTCGCAAACATTAGCTTGCCCTAGAAGTTGGAATTACTAACTAAGAAGCATAAACACTCCTATGGAGGAGATTATTGTGTCAGACACCAGTGTTACACCAAATACTCTGCGGACATTCCCAAAAGCTTGTCTGCCACTTTTTTAATGTGTCTTAATTCAAAATTCTATTTCATAATATCGGACATTTCGCAGACACTTCAGCAACACTTTTTGAACCTTCCCGAAGATGACCCTATGTGATGAATCTCTTTATAGTAACGATGTTGCAACTTGCTCACTCTAAATATGTTCAATTTTATATCCTTTTGAACATAAAAAGATTGCATATGAGGTTTGGGGTGGGGGAGTGAGAAGAATTGTACTTTCAATTTTTTTGGGGTTATTCCAGATAATTTAGTTTCTTATACAACAAAGGCCACTACCCTTCTAGGAATCATCTAGTTGCATCACTGCTAGTGGGTTTAACAGTCTGTTTGATTGGAGTGGCTATCTTCATGAGGCCACCTTTTCCCTTCCACTCAATATGGGTAGAAGAGGCAAAGGAAAGGGCTTCCTCTGTTTTCAAAAAAAACATGAAGTTAAAAATTGACACCCCAAATGTTTGTCAAAGTTTATAAATGGAGGTTGTACTTGTGAAACAACATCAAACTCATTTTCCTCCTCCTTTTCCTTTCCCTCCAATCAAGGAGGAAATTTGTAATGTTAATGATCCACTTCCCTTCCCTCCTCCCTTTCCTTCCTCTACCAAATACGGCATAAAGGATATTTCCCTTAAGAGTCTTGCTACATGTTTGATTGGGGTTTGGGGAGGGGGATTGGATTAGTAATATATGCGCCCCACTTAAAGATGTTTGTTTGCGACAAAATGGCATGGGGGGTTGGGATTGCTAATCCAATCTCATGAATTGGTGGTTAAAAAGACAATTTTCCCCCCACTTTACTAAAACAACAAAGTTACCTTGCATGTGATAAGGGCTTTTATGTAATTTTCTAGATTTAATCCCAACTAACTAATACCATCAACCATGCTATTGCACTAGCAAACGCACTTTATCTTACATTTCCAACCTAATATCACTGTGCTATTAATCCCATCATTCAATCTTACCGTACTCGTAATTCCACCTAACCTAATCCGCCAAACAAACATGTCCAGGAGTTGGGTAGGAGCCTAACCTATGGATATACCTGCTAGTTTCCATACTTTGTTTTTTGGCCCTTGACTTGAGAGTTACTGGCCCTTGTCATGCAATAGAGACTATGAGTCATAATGCAACTCATAAATGTGCTTGTTTGGCAGAGCTTAATTACAGCTTATTTCAGCTTTCAGCTTAATTTAAGTTATTTTAATGTGTTTAGTTTAGCTTATAGCTTATAGCTTATAGCTTTTTGGAAGTCAGAAATCAGCTTATTCTTTGAGTGGGGCAGGAGATGGGTTAGGTGAAGTGGAGTGTGTAGTGGAGTAGAGGTAGGTGAAGTGGAGTGTGTAGTGGAGTAGGTGAAGGTAAAGATGGGAAATTCTAACAGAGTCATAATGCAACTCATAAATGTTGGATTTGGTAGTTTTTATTTAAATATTAAAATGTACACTACATGAAAAATTGTCTTCTTTTTAAACAAGGAGTGACCCCACTCTAAGTAGCACCGATACAGATATAGGAAAAGAAATGTCAGCAAAATGTCCTAATAGCTATTTCAGAACTCTCTATTCATAAGCAAATTGAAAGTTTTGGGTTTTAGAATTTATGAAATTAAAATGTCTAATGGAGGAAGGATTACAAGTTTTAAATGCACATTTTTGTTATAATTTTTTTTTCATTGCATCCCAGTTTATTTTACATTGTGTTTCATAATAGACATTTGTCTCCCAAGTGTTCAAATCATGTTAAGTCCTATAAAATTAAAAAAAGAAAAATAATAGCATATAAATGGACTTGTATCCGGCACATATTGGCAAGTGTCCAATGAGTGTCATGTCTAACAAGTGTCCATATTTCTGAGACCCCATGTTTTCTGCTAGTCATAATGTAGTTGATCTGATTAGCTGGCTAATTATTAGGCCAAGTTTGGTAAGTTGAAAAAAAGTCAAAAAGTCAAAAAGTTACTCAAAAAGTCAAAAAGTTATCTTTAGTCACCAAAAGTCAAAAATTACGGCTGCACAACTCCCAATCTTAATTTTCCCCTACATACTAAGCCTCCGTTTGGGAAGTGGGTTGGCTTTTTGGCTATTTTAGCCTGGTTTGGGAAGGGTTTTTTGGCTTTTTTGGCTTTTTTGGCTTTTTTGGCTTTTTTTGTGAGAGAGGATTGTAATGATTATGGGTTGGATTTGATGTTTTGTTTTTTGTGGCTAAAATAGCCTATTTTGTTTTTTGTGGCTATTTTAGCCAAAAAAGCCTGGCTTTTTTCTTCCCAAACCGAGCATAATTTATACAATTTTTTAATACACATTTTTCCATAAAAAGTCAAAAAGTTAACCCAAACATCCATATTTTTTTCCTCAATTTTTTAGTCCAAAAAGACAAAAAGTACACTTATTTGGGACACCCCAAACAACCCCTTAATATACAATTTGATTGACACGTTAATACTCGCATCAATGGATTATAAATATCATATTACTTAAGCAATCCCAATCAAGCAGCCATGATTAATGTCCAATTACCATTATAAATAGAAATGAGAGGGATTCATGAGGATCAATTGTGAGCGGGCAATTGATGATGAATTTTTACTTTCAAATGCTATATATATAAAAACCACTACATTTAAACAAATACGCATGTCCCCAGCGTGTCCCTGAAGTGTCCCCCAACAAAAAATGAAAATAAAATTAAAGGGACATACCATTTGGCATGTCCCCGTGTTCCTGACATGTCCTCAACAAAAAAAAAGAAAAAAATTAAAGGGATACGCCATTTGGTGTGTCCCGTACGTGTCTCCGGCGTGTCCCCATGTCTGACACTGCTATAGCACCTATTTTAAAGTGTCCGTGCTTCATAGAGGATAGTGGATTGATTTTTCGTATGAGGTCAAGAAAGACATAACAGTTTTTCACAAAAATCCGGTGTTCACTCACTTCCTAAATTTCCATTTTCTTTTTCCTCTAATTGTTCCTGCAATCATGCTATACGTAAATGCTGGTTGTAATCATTTAGTTTTTTAGTTTATGTCATTGTTCTTAGATGTGAATACCGTATCACGTATAATTTTTAGTCTAGTCTCTGGCTTATTTGATAATTTAGTTTGTTTCTGAATGTGTACTTAAATAATCTAAGAACTCATTTATTCTTACAATGGGTATTCAATCCAGGCAAACCATCGGTTCACAACAACAATTCAAAGAAGCATCTATGGTCATGCAACTAATGTTGAGATCCACCCCCTAAATGAGAAGAATGCTGTTCAATCTGCAGTGGACCTTCTTGGGGAAGTCTTCGTCTTTTCGGTAATCTTTATTCACAATTTGCATCCTTTTTCCTTTTTTAGATGTTTGAATAATTACCAAACCTTCTTAAGTCATTACAAATAATATTATCAAGAAGAAAAAGATAACTAATAGAGGAAAATTATGCATGTGCAAACATATTCTTGTGTGATTTGATAGTCAAAGACCTTGTGCTCTCCATCTGTCATGCTGCGCATGCAGCAGAATGAGATAATTGCTCAGAAACTTTGAAAACTTGGCCACAAAACACCTGATAATTTGCAAATTTGTTACTCTATTATTTTACTTTATATTTTTGTTTTGGGAATCACGATAAATTCATTGCATATCTGAACATGGATTGGCTTTTCCACTTGCAGTGATTCTTGAATATTTGTCTATTTTTTTATAATTTCTCCTCAATGCATACTGAATTCTTGACCTGTTGGCCAAATGTTTCCAGATGAATGGACTTGTTAGTTTGCTCCTATGCCTTAGAAGACCAATAATGATTTGTGGGATGTTCTTCCTAAATGTGCAATCTATTGCATTTCCTTTAAGAAACTAGATAATTCACACACACACTCACACAAATATCCCTTACAGAGGGTTAACTAAAGAGATACCACCTTTTGTACCATGCTATGGTATGCTGTGATTGCTTGCTTCAATTTCACAGCATGCCTAACTGGATGATGATTGTAATTTGTAAGCAATTAATGTCCATCCTGGGTGATGCCTATGTGACTACGAAATCTAGCCGGCTTTTACGTGCACTGCATCTGACAAGAGCTGGACAACGTTGTCCTAATCTGATATTAGCATTCTCTTTACAATGACCTGTGCCTTTTTAAACCGTGACATTTTTTTTTCACAGTTCAACATTTAATGCCAATTGTATAATAGATCATCCACCAATACTTAGAGGCCTAAATGTATGTATAGGTTGCAGGAGTTGCCCTTATCTTTGAGGTGCAGAGAAGTTCTAGATCAGAAGCTAAAAAGGAGGAACTGCGTAAGCAGGAACTGCAGGTAATGTCAAAATTATTCTCTTCTTATGTACTATACTCTCGTAATCATTCTCTCTAGGACCACCTCTGTTCGTATTCTGGCTATGGATTAATATCTTCTTTTATTATCGTTTTTGTTTTCCTTGCAAGTTGGTTGTATTTTCTCCCCAAATATTATGGTAACTTTTTAGTTTTGTGGGTATCCAATAAGGACTGGTTAATCAACTCATTGAACTTTTTGTGCTGGATTAGATTATTAATGCAAACTCTTTCAACCACAGAAGATGTATTAGATAACACAACTAGATCAGTGAGTTTAAATCTAAACAAGGATTAAAAAAATAAGTAAAAAATTAAAGGGTGTGCTCACATTATATATCACAGTTATGACCTAAGTAGCAACTATACAAGAGCTGTTTTTGTGTTGACACTTAATTCATGGACACTTTCCGGACACTCCTAGACATGTGCCTGACACTTTGTCCTGTGATTTCTTCTCTTTCTCTCAAGGTTGCTCTATTTAAGATGGTACTTCATGTATTTGTCATTCTATCCTTGGAAGGTAGAGAGGGGCTGTGTAGAGAAAAGCTTAAGTTTGTGATGGATGGACAACAGGTTTCACAATTGGAAAAAAAGAGGTGTTGATCCTCACTTAAACCAAATTCATATCTATATGGCTGATTACTCCCAGCACCGACCTAATTTTTTATTGCATCTCTGTTGTTAATGCCAGGAGCATTAGACTTTTGAAGTAACAAAAAAGTTTGATATTGGAAAAATGTTGGCCATTGGAGTTGGATTTATTGACCTATGGCCAGGTTGAGGGAGATTTATTTTGTTAGGATCCTTGTATAAATAGTTTATGGGATGAATTTTAAACTTCTAATTCATTGATATAAAGGTTTCAAATCTATCCATATATACAAATTGTTGAACTCAAAATCTAAGCTATTTACTTTGTAACTCCAGGCTATGCTCCTTGAATAATTAAGCCCGTATCATTTCAAATCCGTGAATTCAAATGTGACCTAATTGTTTTTCTCAATATCATCCTCTCTCTTTCTAGTTTTCATTCTTTTTATTTTATTTTATTTTGTACATCAGATTACAAATTCGTCTCCCAAAGTGGGTGAAAAGACCCACTATGTGTTGAGTGCAATTCTCAGTCTTTCTGTGTTTATGGGTTTTTAGGGTATAAGGCTAAGAGATGAAGAGCTAGCAAGAGAAGTGGAGCTTCTTAAGCAAAAACTTGAAGAGCTCCAACAACTTGCGAGGGGACGAGGACTCGCTGGTGTTTTCAACTTCAGAAATGCTCACGATGCTGAAGATGGCAAGTCAGTAAAGCCAGCTTGATCTGATTGTAAGTTTTTCAACTGCAAGTAATGCATTAATGTTGTAATCAAATAGTTAACCATTCATTGCTATTGATTTTGTCAAGCTCTCAACAAGGAAAGCTTTCTTTTTTTTTATTTCTTTTGACCCTTTGTTATTCTTTGCTCATTTGGCTTTACTTGTTCCATTTGTAAATGAAAATAACAATTGAGGTCCTGTTTCTGTTATTAATGGCAAATAAAATAAAATGAAGAAGATCTTGATGCTGTTTATTTATTTATTTTTTCAGTGCACTCGTATTTTTATTTTATGGGTATCAATGTTGTTGAGTAAGGTTAATATTGGCCCCGCTTGGCAGCCAATTTTTTTGCTAAAAAAGTCAAATTTAGGTTAATTATCGAGCCTATTTGAGTCAAAGTTAGGTCTATTTGAGCTCAGCTCGATTACTAAACATGCTTACAAATTTAACTTGAAGTTATTCATTTAGCAAATGAGCCAAGTTGGTTTAATACAATCTCAGCCTAAATATGGAAAACATGTGTGAAGTGGGTAAAAATTAATTCTCGATGCTCGGCCCAATGCTAGGCTTACTCCAAGGTTGAGCTAGGTTGGAGCTCAGCCCAGGCCAACACCTGCTCCGAAGCAAGACAATCATGGGAGTTCGGTCCAATGTACGAGCGTCACTCCAAAGTGAACACTAGAAAGCTCAGCCTAACGTGCAAAGCTCGCTCCAAAGCTAATCGAGCAACAAGTTGTACTTCTAGGATGGACAACCATTTCGAAGTGGACCAACTTGGAGAAGGTCAACACACTGAAGGCATTTTTTAGGCTCACAAGAGACAAACAACTCAGCTCCTCTTCTCTTTCTAAATAGAACGTGGAGACATGGAGGTGCAAAGGGACAAGGCGCACACATGATAGACCTGCACTTGAGTGTTAGGCGGAGTGGTCGTCCTCTTCCAATGAGAGACGATCACTAATGAGACAAACAAGATAGACCTGCGCTCGAGTGTTAGGCGTAGTGGTCGTCCTCCTCCAATGGGACATGACCACGAACAAGACAAATGGGACAAATGGTGGAGAGAGAGGTCTTGGATGACAAGCAACCTTCTCCTATAAAAGGTGAACACTATTCACCCTCAAAGGATCCGAAATCCACACACTCAACACATACACACTCTTTGTATTCTCTTTTCTTCCTCTTCCTTAGTCCCTGACTTTGCCATCGAGAGGGGTTTCCGGCCAAAACCCCAGTTGGGCAGTCTCACCTTTTGTTACTTTGTGCAGATCTTCAATCCCCGGAGCATGCTGTTCTTTCACGAAATTCAACCCTTCTTCATAGTGTGGAAATCACTCCCGCACAATGTGGATTTGAATAAAAGTTTTGGTCCAAACATGGATCCCCATATATGAACTAACCATAGTTCACATTGTTCCTGGAATATATGCTAAACTTTGAGTCCTCTGCCTCATTTCATTCCTTGTACAACCTTGTCTCTCAAGAATAATGTATTCAAAGGGTTGGTAATTATTATTAGTCTTAAAACACTACATGACATTGTTTATGTGATGCTCCAAATCAATTACGTAATAATTTTTCTTACAAGTACAAAATATTAACTCACTTTTATTATATAATTAGAAGACATCACTTAGTATATGTTATTATTTTTTATTGGGCAAGAGTACTGAATAGACAAATCATATGATACTCTAATAATATCTAATAATTTTTTAAGAGGACAATTAAATTTCTGCTGACTCAAATTTCAAATAACAGATCATAGAATAGAATAGTCACAAGATAGTACAAATCTGTTGACTAAAAAAGTGTGGACATTAATTTCTCTCATTGGCTGCTCAAATAAAACAGGTCATGGTTAATTTGAAAAAAAATAAAGGCTAATAAATATATATATAAAAGCTAAATATGATGTTAGGCAAGCCACCTCAGTAACTTATGCAACTTTAACCACATAGTTTTATTACAGGATTATCCCTTGTGAGTATTCTATGACTTATTTTATTTTGAAAAATTATTAAGTAATAATATTGTCTACTTATGCTGTGTTTGGTTGGGGGATTTGGGGAGGGATTTGAAAAGGGAAAGGGAAAAGGTGTGTGACACTAGGTGAAATATAGGCATGTTTTATTCATATTTCACCTACCTTTTCCATTTCTCTTTCCAAATCTCTCCCCAAATCTCCCAACCAAACACAGCATTAATGTTTCCATAAATGAAAAACTATAAAACATTTTAAATAGATCATCTTAAATTCTTCGCTCCTTAATAAAAGTAAAATATATATATATATATATTAATTAATTTTACTCGTAAATTCTTTTACTAGTTTACTGATTGAGAGCAACACAAGATGCTCATTATCTTCAAATGTTGTACAAACACTCTTCTTTAAGACTCTTTTTATCTCAAGGGGGCCATCAAAGATTGTATGGGAATCTCATAGAGAGGGTAGTGGAAGTGCCCTTTATGCCTTTCTTCGTCTACTCATTTTTCACTTTTCTCACGGGCTTCTCATTGATGAATTTGGCTCTCTTTGGCAACCTTGTGGTTTGGTTCAATGATCAATCACATCTTGCCTTGTCAACAATTTTTTTATTTTTTTTAGAAAGCTTACCTTGTTAACATTGATGGCAACATATCGGAAGTGATTATTTATTTATTTATTTTGAGAAATTACATAATCACTAAAAAAACCCAAGATATCCCTTTAGCCAACTTGTAAATCTAGCCTTTTGTTCTGTGATTAAATTAATTTAGTAATGCAATCTTAATATCCCATTGAATGGTTGGTTCAATGGTAAGATTTTCTCACTCATAACTTTTAGATTTAAGTTTCCATAACTGCTTGATGGGGATAGCTTATATGCATATTCATTTTAATTATCAAAAATGAAAATTCAATCTTGCTCAAATTAGGAGATTATATAGGTTTTACCAACGAAATAAATGTATAAATATTTGATGGATCTACTAACAAATCATGCAAAACCATATTGCTCAAATTACCTCTTTTTTCCTTCCCTTTTTTTTTTTTTTTTTGAGTGCTACTATTAGCACCCTATCAATTAGTTTGGACCCTGTAATTTTAATCTTTTTTTATTACAATAATAACCACAAGTGAAATTATTAAAAAAATATCAGTAATTTTGAAACACCCAATCTCACAATTAAGCCCACATACCACCACATTATGAATCAAGGTTTATGAGAACACTCATCTCCATTACCACCTATCCATCTTTCCCAAATCCCACATTCAAAACCTATCCATCGTCAAAATCATGAAAACATTTTGGCGGCAATATTTTGACAACAATGGTGGAAACATTTGGTTACATATACTTCTTCGGCAATAACAATGAGTGAAAATTTTCCGGTAACCACAACTCCATAAGACGAGAGGAGTGCAACAATAACAGCTTGGAAGAGATTCATAGTTTTGATGGTATTCTTAGCTCAGAAGAGATTAGCCTTGTAAGAGTAATTTTTTTGAAAAAAATAACAAAAATAATAAAAATTATTTGTCATTTTTTTGAGACTGAATTCTCAAACATATGATCGAAATTTGAGAACACAAGTCCGAACATTGTTTATTTGTTCAAGAACAGGTAACTGAACATTTCTTATTTGTTCGGAAATAAATAACCGAAGCAGCAACAAAAGCAAGTAAACAAAGGAGGTCGGACCACTCTTGTGTGGTCAGTCGGCCGGTTGACTAGGGGGTGAAATCCTACCCAGTTTTGCTCACACAAAGAGCATACAAGTATAATGCGGCCATGAATGAATATTAGAAAATTAACCAGAGAAGTATGAAAGTGGATTGTGTTGTGTGTGTGAAAAGATGTAATAGAAGAAAAAAAAATCCAAACAGATTGACAAACTTTGTAATGAAGTAGAGAAAAAACTTCTTAATTACACAAATTTTTTCCACTTGTTTTGGGATATTCCATCGTCGTGAGTTTTGGGATAGAGGCTTTTTCGGGTGTGGGAGTATACATCTGAACGGGTGAAATATTTTTATAAGGATAATTTTGGTATTATTTAGGGGAGATAAATTTTTTTAAAGGTTTTAAAATTTATAAGTAATGGTCCAAAGAAATGAGGTATCCAAAATAATTTATGAAGTGCAAATAGTAGTACTCATTTTTTTTTTGAGAGTATAATCATAATGCACCTAAATATATAATTTATTTACAAATAGGGACTATTTTTTGGACATGTCTCTACGTTTTATTTATTTTTATTAATGTTGTTCAATTATTTTAAAGAAATTTGATAAGTCGCCACCATTGTTTGAATAAATACCCACAACAAAATAATATGTATAAGTAATTTTAATTTTTTAATCGTTTTATTTTCCCTAACTTAAGCACATTGATTGAGTCTCCTTACAACAAGATATAATTAGAAAGATGCTACAGCATGGCAAACATGATTAACCAATAATAGTATTATTATTATTGTTGTCCCCGTCGTAATTGCTATTATTGTTGTCATTCCTTTGATAGGACTTATAAATTAATTTATTTAACATACTTACTTATAAAAAAAAATGACTAATAATGTTGGGTAACAATTTTTAATTATAATTTATTTGACATTTTTAGCTTATTTAACAACAACAAAAAAAACAGGTGAGATTTTCTTAAATCATATTATGTAGTTTTTTTTTATTTAAAAAAACCGTTAAATACATGTGGAATGTTTGTTGTTTTAATTATTACTTTGAGAACATTCATGATATTTACATAATCAAAAAGTTACGGCTCCGTTTGATAAGAGTTTTTTTGATTATTTTAGTCATAAAAAATAAAATAGATTATTTTAATTACAACAAATAAAATATCACATCCAACTCATAATCATTACACTATTCTCTCACAAAAAAGTCAAAAAAGTTAAAAAACTCTTCTCAAACTAAACTTTTTAGCCCAGATTAAAATAGTCAAAAAAATCAAAAAGTCGAAAAGTCAACCCACTTTCCAAACGGAGGCGTAATAGCTTATTGAGCCTCCGTTTGGGAAGTGGATTGGCTTTTTGACTTTTTGACTTTTTCGGTTATTTTAGCCTGGGTTAAAAAGTTTGGTTTGGGAAGGACTTTTTGACTTTTTTGACTTTTTTTGTGAGAGAAGAATGTAATGATTATGGGTTGAATGTGATATTTTATTTTTTGTGGCTAAAATAGCCTATTTTGTCTTTTGT